AGAGAGGTACTTTTTACTCTTAAAATGATTACCAAGGACCATTTGAAGGAAACAGAAAAATGGGGACCAAGATTTTTTAATACAGGAGGCTAAATTTAGCATGCTAAAACCATAGGTAGACAGCTAAAGAGTGGGCCTGAGTTTCAAACATAGCGGGCACATCTGCACTTTCATTATGTGCCATAATAACAGATACTAAACTTAATGTGCTAATCGGCACTACTGCGCATTAGCACAGATGAATGGTTTTTAAGTGACGTTAATGCACATTAGACCAAGTCTACTGCGAATTAGAGCATTAACACAGTTTTTGCCAGCCACACTAGTGTGCAGTACAATTCATCTAATACACAGTAAGTGTCTCATGTAGATGTGGTCACTGAGGATCAAACAGCTGCCACTAGCTTTAAAGGGCTCACCAACAAACCCCTACTGGTGTCAAGGGAGCTCAACATATCTGAAGTCACATCACTTATTTTGGAATCCAAATAAGGATCAAATAGCCTAACTTTAGACACCTAATTTGAAAATCTTGGCCAGGATTTGAACTGCTTAGGAGTTCCTTTGTTCTAGCTGTTTATTGGCTCTACTCTGTGATAACACAGAGTTTTATGTCATGTTCCTAGCTAGGTTACTGATACACAGAGCTTTGCTAAAAGACTGCTCCTTTGCTGGTGCTCATCCAAAAACTAGTACATCTAAAAATAAACCAATAAAACAGCAAAGGACATAGCCTCTATCATTATTTAAAGCCTCCATGTTGCAAACTGAATTTTAAGTTCTATTATTTGTGAAAGTACATTTCAGTTTCAACGTAAGTAAAGCTTAAAGTCCTCTGAGTGATAAACACTAGCACCTGCAAGTTAGAAAGGTAGAAAGATGGTACTGGAACCTCCGAGGACTGAGAAATGGAAACTAATGAGCTTATAGCAGAAATCCATGGGTAGTTGGTAGGCCTGTGTGAACCAGCAAGCATTTGCTTTGGATTCGGCTGATTCGGAGAGACAGTGATTTGATTCGGTGATTCGAATTGCTGTCCCGATTTGATTCGGTCAATTTGGATTTGGAGATTTGGCGCTGATTCCGAGATTTGGCCATAGACTATAATGGGGAATCACTAAAATGCCTATAACTTTGTGGGGTTTTTTTTACAGATTCAGATGAAAACAGCATAGATGGTGGCCCCTTCTGAAGGCATGAAGCCTGACAAGTTTCAAGGAGACAGGTACAGAGGTTTCTGTGAAAGTGCCCCTCAAACTGTTGAAAGCAAAACTCGTATTACTTGTACATGTTAAGACAGAGTGAGGTGAAAACAGGAGGGAGCTCAGAGAAATAGATCGCAGTCACTGGCAGCTACAGATGTCAGTATCAGAGCAGTCTTTCTCCCCTCTCAGTCTTTTCCATATATGGAAGATCACCCCATCCCCCTCCCTCTTCTCAGTTTCTGTTTCCTGCAAGCCTTCCGAACCTCCCCGAATTGATTCGGAGGCTCCCGATCCGATTTGGACCTTTTAACAGGTCTCCTACTTCAATTCAGATTTGGAGATGAGTCTGCCAAATTGGGCCGAATCTCCTCCAAATCGAATCGGGTACCGAAGCTTTGCACAACCCTAGCAGCAGGTATGCCGAAAAGATTATTTCAATGTAAGCAGAGAGTGACAGAAAATCATGGACTTGATCTTGATGACAGATAGGTCAGCGGGTGCAAAGAAGGACTACGGGTCTCTGTATGTAACAGACTTTCTTGGGGAAACCAAAAATTAATCTGTTTCTTGAGCTAGGGACAGAAACTAAACATAAGCCTGTATAAGTGACTGGAAACTGATTCAAATCTGTCACAGTTTTTACTGTAGTGAATAATGTAACTATCTAAGAAATTGCAGATATATTCTTCTCTCATGCTAGTATAAAACCAAAAGAAATACTACTGAATTCACTAGAATCAAAATTGGTGTAAACACAGCAAGCACAGAATAGATCTCCTGACTTCAAAAGAGGAGTAAGAAGCAGGAGGGGATGATTGTGATTATTATAAACAATCAAGATCCTGTTTCTATACAAAAGCCCTTAGTAAATTAAAAACTATGGGAAGAGATATACAGAAAACATTAGCAGAATGAATGGAATTTTCCCCATAAGGCATCTGTGGAGCTTTAAAGAAAATGCGGCTAATCTGTAGCATTGGCTGCTGGAAGAGACAACAACTTAAGGTTCCTAATTAAACGATTCTATTCAAGAATCACCATCGTTTCATAACACTGAAACATGGGGTAACACCTCCTTGAATAAATGAAAGTACTTTGGGGTATAAAACCACAGTAACTATAGGCTAATGAGGAACAGACAAAGAAAAATGTGAAATGCTGTAAAGCCTTAATAGTTGAGATAATGACAAAAATTTATGACTGCTTCCTTCCCTGGCAGACAGGAGTACAATTAGAATTCTCAAAACAACAGCCCCTTTGTGCTTGCATGCTGCGTTATGTTTGTACTGCTACAGATAGACTAGATGATAAAAAATAAATAGTATAGCACCCTTGCTAACCCAAGATAACAGCAATCTTTTTATACGGTTCTGGACCTGGGTTTATTCTGAAAACGGAGTTATTTAAGTCATTATAACTGCAATGGCCAGGAATTAACCATTTGGGCCACTTGCTATGCACAGAAGCTTCTGTATGCACAAGGACACAGGACAAGAACAAGCATGCTCTTATGGAGCACTTTATAATTTCCTTTGTGGTCCAAAGACAGTCTACCATTTAAATAACTGAAAATTATTTATTTCTTTAAAAAGAAGAAGAAGAAGAAGAAGAAGAAGAAGAATGTCCTTGGCTTGATGAACTGTTGAATGAAAAGCTTCAGGAAATGCACATGCTTTTCCTTTCATCTTTTACTTATACCAAGGATACGGATCACTTGGAGCTGACAGCCTTTAGAGTAAGCATAAGGAAATATGAGTATAGGTTTTCTCATCTCATTCACAAAGGAAGTACTATTACTTCTATATTCTGAATACACAAACTTGACTCAAATAACCACAGATGGTTTTGCAACAGAATAGCCTAAGGCTGTCTTGTCCCTAAGAACTCTGGGAAGGACATATGCCCATGGAAGCTCTAACGGCCTCCCGAATAATATTCTCAGGCCTGTAAGACCATCCAAAGGCTTTCATCTATTGTGTTCTTTCTGTTTGGGCTGCCCTCTCCCTCCCTTCCCGCCTTCCCTTTATGTGATGCACACATCTCCTCCTCAGGTCTAAGTAGTATGAGTTATGACATCAGTCCTAAATCTTAGTTAAGCATACAATGCTGTCGAAAAGCTCTTGAGAATTATTTCTTGCAGGCATGCTACAACAGGCAGTAGAATGCAAGAGGACTCTCAAAGTAAATATCAGAAATGATCCCAACACAGAGATAAAGCTCATTTCACAAACCAAAAATAACCATCACTGAATTCCTTACCTTCACTTTCTATTGTTTTATATATTTAAAAAAAAAAGAAAAAAATACTGCAACACCATATACCACAAACTATATGACAGGACATGTTGGCCAAATCTCCTGTTTTTTTCCATGATGAGGTGAAACATCATTAAATGTTGCATAATTCAGCACTGCATGTCAGTGCATATCAGTGTAAATTATAAGTAGAAATGTACATGAATGAGACATTCATGTGGCAAATACAGAATAAACACTTAAGATTTATGATTGGATTAATTTTCCCACAAGAAATTTACATATTAGTAATCTATATGGGGAGAGCACTCTGGATCAACAATTACTGGTTGGCCTATCTGGAATCTAGAGCTGCCTCATATTGCTGTTCTAAGAAACAGATGGCTGAAAGCAATCCTACTGGTTGTTAGGAAAGCACTGGAGCAATGTAGCAATCTGGAAATACCCACTACTCTGAAACCACTACCCTCTTGTCTTTCTGTACAACTAACAGCATCTACCTAACCGTGGGCATTATGCAAACAAAAATACCATTTTAATCTTCTGCTGTTTGCAAAAATTGCCTCTAGACTGATATAGTCTTTAGAAACCAAAAAAGCAACAATGGCATTTCAGTTGGTACATTTCCCTGTCTTAATATTCCAAAAAAAATTCTAATACAGTTGCATGATTTAAAATTTTATTACAGAAATAATAAAATTATTCCATTTTGTAATATCCAAGGACTCTCTAAAACCTTGGAGTGATCTGTGTTCAAAGGTTTCTTAGTCTTACAAATAATTGTTTCAGTTAGATAAATCACAAAAGCTTATGAATAAACCCCAAGTTTAGCAGATTTTTGTATGCCCATGTTTTGCTAGGAATTAAAGGGGGAAAAGCTACTACAAGAAAAGACCACGAAAGCATCAAAGTATGGAAATGAAAAGAAAAGAGGAAAGAACTTTAATTTGGTTAATGGGGAAAACTCAGTGCCACATGTTTAATGAGCTTATATATTTCCCTTACCCACACCCTAATAAAGCTGAAGATCATAACATAAAGGATGCAAATAAACCATAACAACATGAAGCAAAATTATAGTTCCAAAAATCAGTCCAATTAAAATAGTGCAGCAAGCTAGTACTGATATGAAGCTGAGATTGCTAGCTATTGGATAAAAGAAGTCTAGCTGTTTCTGTTTACACTAACCCCACCTGTGAAGCAGGAACAAATAAAGGCTTGCTATCATTTGGTCTAAGAGCCAACAGAGAATGCAAGAAGATTTCAGTTTTCAAACCAGTACTGGCTGATTACTCCTGAAAACTCCTTTCAGTATGTAGAAATAGAGCAGCTGGCTCATAGTCATAACTCAAGTTGCTTACTTTCTCCATACCATCTGAGGAACAACACAGATACCAAATGCAGATGTGGCCTTTAAACAATCAGTCTGACTAGTTAAGAAAAACTGGGATGCAGCACGTAAGAATTAAATGATGCAGCAAAAGCAAAAGAGTTATAAACTTAAAAATAAAAGTACATTAGAGAGGCTTCTTTCTGTACCTGGCCATTCCCAGACTGGAAAAGTTGGAAGGGACTATCAACACATCAAGCCTGGAAAAGGGATGAGTACCCAGTGTAGCATGAGCAGCTGACAAGCATTGAGGAATCAGCTCAAGCAGTATCTCTGCACAGAGGTCCTTCAGGCACCATGGAGCAAAGACTCGATGAGGAATGACTGGTTGAGATGTGGCACCAGGATTTTGGAACCGGCAGGGGGATTCCAAATGACCACAGCCCCCTTCGACCAACCTATGAACAATAAGAAATGCAGTGGTTTAATTTGATATTAGAAATAGGCACAGCTAGATGTGAATACTGGAAGTTAGGATCTTCTGCAGACACCAAGGACACAAAACTATAGATGGACTTGCACAGAATGCTGATTCATTTGTGTTCTCAGTACGGCAGTGAAAAATTGTGGAGCAAAATTAATAAACTTGGGTGGAATTGATTTGGCTACTCCAATCTACAACAAGTAAAAGTAGTAACACCTTGTTTTACAGCAAAAAGGCATTAAAAAAACATGGGTTCAAATGCAACTACTGTACAAGCCATAACTGCATACATTTGTGTCTGTGTGCATATTTTACAATAAGAAAATATGGAAAAGTAAGTGAACAAGAAGAATCAAAGTAACTGAAACTAAAAGAATGATACAGAATTTCTAAGATGAATGTTTTGAAACACTTCAATATTTAACCAAGGAACAAAGTCTGGATTCGTTTTTCCTGAAATAAAAACAGAAATATGGTTTCAATAAAATAAAAGTTCAATTTCGTAAATTAAAAATGCTTCTGGAAAAAAAAACTATTAACAGTTGTTCCTACTAATAAAACAGCAGTGGACATAATTTCAGTCTTATCACTGATAACATCTGAAAAAGAACCACTTCAGAACCAAATGTGAACTGCGTATCTTCTATGGAATGGTTTCTATCAAAGGTGGAGTTGGAAAAAAACCTACACTTCCTAATGCTTTTAAAAGTAGGTATCTGTCTAAATGAATTCAGCTCAAAGAAAAATCAGCTTCATAGATTTTCACCTGCTAGCTTCTCACCTCTACAACACAGTCTCTTTTTGGTGGATTGTGTTTTTGGTTGGTTGGGTGGTTTGGTTTGGTTTCTACTTACGGGACAGATTTTTCAAATACTTTCTAGTAGGTGTAGTGCTTATTATTACTATGGTAAATATTAGCACCCACTGCAGTTGCTGAAATGCTGGCATGTAACTATCTATGTTAAAAAACTATGCAATAAACACCACCCAACATTTATGCAATGCCTCTTTATCTGAAACGAACCCTAAACAATTTTCACAGATCTACACAAAGAAACCTCACCCAGCACTGAAACACAATGATCTCTAGTGAAAAAATGCCACACTTATTTAACATTATAAGTGAATTTACATAATATTTTTCAAAGGGTGGTGGCTGAGTGACTTTTTAAAAAATGTATATCAGTCAAAATGTAATTACCAGGCTTGAAATCTGACAAGGGCATGAAAGTAGGCACCCTGAATCCTTTGAATAATTGCCCAGGATTTTTCACAGACTAATAGACAGGAATCTAGCTTGATGTCTCTGGCTCAGTTTTATGCCTTCTATGATGCTGCTCTAACTGTCAGAAAAGCCTCCCTCTTCTAGCTCCTCTCTCTTCCTTCAAACCAACAGTGGAGACCCAAACTTTTTGTTGAGAATGTTTTCTTTTTTGAGAAATCTGCCTTTAAGATTTATCAGATGAAATTTATATTTCAGATGAGTTTGTACATTTTCAATGCCTGTAACATGCCTAGAGCTAGAAGTATGTCCAGGCATCAAAATCAAAATAAATACATCCCACCTTAAAATAGCTTTCTTTCAGTAGTCCATCCTCATTTCCTTATTTCTCAAGAACTTCTGGTCTTCTCATTTGACTAACTGCACTATGCTTCCCCTGTTTTATCTACCTTTGGGCCCACTCTTCATACTTTCAGGACCATGCCAAGTGCATGGAAATCAGTGACTACACTGATTTCAGTCTTGTTGACTACAGTGGGTAAGAACTTGATAGAAAATATTATGTAGAGAAATAAGGGTTAACAGCATCCAAAACTTAGACTCAAAAATCTCTCAGACAAATATCTGATGACTTTTTCTTTTGCAAAACACCCCCCGCTCACATACATTCGCCTTTGCTACCTGGACATCCTGCATTCATTTTACCTACAACACAATTTTCACGTAAAGCCATCTAAATTAGAACTTATACCTATCTCTCATTATGTACAGGATAGTCCCTTCTTGCTTCATCTGATCAAAAGACCTTAAAATAAAGTGATTTTATTTTCTATAAAAATAGTATTAAAAGTTTTTCAAAATGATATAGCAGTAAGTAGAATGAAAAATTATAACCAGTTTTATATTTCTCAATAAGCAGCAGCAAATTAAATCCTGAGGGGAAGGACTAAAGAATTCAACCTTTGAATAAGAAAGATATGAATTATTAAGTTTTCTGTAAATGACAGAAGCCAGATTTGCATTTTGTGCACTTTAGTGAGAATCGCTGCAGTTAAGTAAGTCTCACACTGATGTTCCATATGTACAGGCACAGGCCTTATCACTATTTATGTCTGGTAACTCCCACCACATGCTAGGTGCCATATAACACAGAGACAAGACAGACAGACAGTAAGGGAATGGCATATGACATGCAGTTTCAGAAGAGGCTGGCTGTATCATCAGAGGATAGATGTTTTAATAAGGTGACTTCTTTTAAAAAGAAAAATAAAAAGGCATATCTACTAGTGACCATAATTAACCAGTCACAGTCTGCCCTCACAGTCAAAAAGGAACTTGAGGAGAGATTTTAAATGACAAGAGAGTTACAGCAGTTGGTTCAAGGAGGACAGGAAGGCAGGAAGACAGTGGTAAGAGAAGTCTCGTTGGTGGAGCAGTGAAGACATGAGACAAAAGCAACTACAGAGCTCAATAATAGGGAAAGTACTAACTGGAGAAACAGACAATATTTGTGGGATTTACATTAAATGTATACCAGGAAAGATCTTATTGTAAAGGCAGCAAAAGTCTAGTCCAGAGGATTTTTCATTACTGAAAAAACTTCTCTGTTCCTGGTACAGTTTGCTTATTCTAAGAAGTTATGATTCAGCATCCAACAGACATACAACAAAAACAAACTCCCATGGAAGAGAATGCGTAAAACAAAATAAAATAAAACCACAAATGGAAAATACTTGATGCTGCGGATATTAGGGTTTTTTTTCTATCTGAAAAGGAAGACTTTCATGCAGTGGTTAAAACATATACAGCCCTCTGCTCTGTTTCTACCTCTAGTATGATCTTGGGCACATTGCTCATTCTCTCTGTGCTTTTATTTTCCCATCTATAAAATGGGCATAAGAACAATTCTACCAATGAGATCCTCAATCACACTACACTGCTCCATCCAGGCTCCACAGGCAAGCTATCCTTGGCCCTATCCTTCAGCAATGCCAGGTAGGGTGGAACACTTAAGGGTACTGCTCATGGAGACAGTAAGCTTACCATATGGTCATTGCCCGTATTTACATACCAAATGTTATGAAAGCACTGTCTGAAAAAGTTAGAAAACAACATAACTAAACACTTGCAACATTTTTAATGTAACGTATCTGAATAACTAATTGTCTCTCTTTTTTCATAAACACATAACATAATTAATTACAGTAAGATCAGCAAAAAGTACAGATATTAAAAGCATGGCACATTAGAGAGGAATGTACAACATAACGTAACTGCAGCATGTGAAATTCTGTAGATACAACAAATATATTCACAGTGGGGATGTAGCTACAGTATTACATGTTATGTTTTGTCAGATACAGACACGTCCACAGTGGGGGTATAAGTATGGAATGATTTTTAAGGTACATTTAATGGTATAAAAAAATGAAAGTTTCAAACCATATTTTTCATCTCATTATTTTAAAATAAATGAAAGGCTCTTTTTCTAAAGTTCACTGAGATTGTTATTAAAATTAACACAGCATCAGCTCAG